ATTCCCCCACACAGGCAAACTGAGGACCACTCAGCCGCAGGCACCATAGTGCTAGAGCCTTCCTTGTGTTTATGTAAGAGGATATCCCTTGTAACCTACACGCCTTTTTTTCCTTTTATTAAGTCACTAGAGGCCCGTTGCACGAAGATTCACGCAATAGGCCTTCCTTCCCTGGCTGCCGGCACCGGTTTTCCTCCGGCACCTGGGACCCAGGCCTTTGGTCTGGCTGCAGCCCCTTTCTTCAGTCTTCAGTCGTCTTCAGTCTTCGCTCCTTGCCTGCATATGCAAATTAACCACCATCTTTGTTGGGTTAATTTGCATACTCATCCTGATTGGCTGGTGGGCGTAGTGGAATGACACCAATTTGCATGTTTCTCTTTTATTAGTGTAGATTCTTTAAAATCACAATGCTGTGTGCTGCAACTAGAAACAATATAAAGATATATCAATAAAAGGAAGTGACCATCCATCCCTATAAAACCTCAAAGAAACCAATATAAGTAGCCTGACATGGCATTTCTGCACATTGCCTCCATGGCATATATATCTTGCCCTGAACAATGTATACACTCACATACATGTAGACTTTTGTCTTGTTTTTACAAAAAGGTATCATATTATACAACTCTGCCTCTTTGCTTGACAACACATCTTAGACATTTGTCCAGGTCAGAAGATTTGCCACAAACTACTCTTTTTTTTTAACAGCTAAACAATATTCCATCCTATTCCTTTATTAGGATAAGAGTTTTCTGTGAGAAATATCACCTGCAACCCAACAACCTGAGATTAGAATGGCCCATTGACTGAGTGACCTCTTTCCAAACCATGAGAAAAACCAGAAAACATTATAGTTGACTCCTTCGCACTATGTGGGGAAGAATACTTTAATTTTGTTTTTGTCAACTCTATGGAACACTTCAGTGGAAAGTGGTCACACATTACCCCACAACGAGTCCCTGTGAGTTTTGAGTGAACAGTGAGCACAGTTACTGAAAGGTCTTGGGTCTTATGAGCTCCTCGAGTTGGCCCATTTAAGAACTCCCCGCTCAGAGACACCTCCAAGCGCCCTAGTCACAGTGTCTCCTGCCTCATACCAGGTCTGGTTTCAAAATCGGAGGGCCAAGTGGCGGAAGCAGGAGAAGCGCTGGGGCGGCAGCAGCGTGATGGCCGAGTATGGGCTCTACGGGGCCATGGTGCGACACTGCATCCCTTTGCCGGACTCTGTCCTCAACTCCGCCGAGGACAGCCTGGCCGGTTTCTGTGCGCCCTGGCTCCTAGGTAAGGAAGAGGCTGAGAGAGAGGATATTCAGTGGGAAAGGAAGCTCACCCCTCTGAGCTTATAGGACCAGGGGTTGAGTGGGTGGGTGGGGGGTGCCTACTGGCATCTGCTGGTCCATGGCCATACAAGAAACTGGGCCCAGTGCTGCCAGACCTTCTGACTTTTTGAGAGAAGTTGGAAGTCTGGCTTTTGATGTATAATCTCCTGATTTTAAAATGTTGTGGACAATTTTCAAAATAAAAATTTAAAAGTCCCTATGTCATCTAAATGAGGCAACTTTGCCGGCTGCACCTGGCTGGCACACACCAGCTTTCAACCCCCACCAGTGGGAGTTACCTACGTGACTCTCGCGGGGAGCAGAGAGAGGTACTGACAAGGGCAAGTCTAACGGGACTTAGAGAAAAAGATCATAAGAGAAATTAATTGCTGACTTTAAAGATATCTGTTTTTTCCCCCCTTTTCTTTTTTTGCAAGGGATGCATAAAAAATCCACAGGGATGATAAGGAAACCAGGAAATGAAGAAAAGCTGGCTGGGTTCTGGGGCCCTGACCACCTCAAGGAAGGTTCTAGTCCAAGTCAGGCAAGATCCCGGAGCGTCGCCAATGCAGCCAGCCCTGAGAGTAACTTGGAAGATGTTGCCATTGATCTCTCCAGCTCCTCATGGCAGGAAACCAAGACGGTGCACCCGAGGGCCAGTGCTCAAGATTCGGAGGGGCTCCAGCCTAGGAAGGTGGGAGCCTTCTGAGGCCCACAGGTCCTACGCGCAAAGGTTGGACATTCTTCACTTTGGCTTTTTCAAAAAACAGAAGTTGTCCAGGACAAATCATCTCAGTTGGGTTTCCTGCTAGTGTCAGGATAAAATTCAATGCCATTTGTTTTAGGAAGACGAATGGGTGACTTGGGAAAAACTCTGTTTTGCTCTAGAGTGGAAATACTCCTTAAAGGCACTTGAACCTTTAAGTTAATGTGTGTAAACATTTTATTGTCTTCTGTAGAACTTGAGGAGGGAAGGTTTTCGTTCAAACAGCATTTTCACTGCTGGGCATCATTTGAGATTTGGTTCAATTAATGGGTTAGGTCTGATGTCCTCTCTCTGAACTCGAAAATATAAAATTACTTAACCTCCAGAGAATCAGATGTCTTCATAGATAGTGAAGACCCCATGCAGACATATGAATGAGTTATATTACCTTTATCTTGAACTTGACTTCAGACAGTTCGATTTTCTCACGAGGCAATAATTTTGCAT